TTTTGGTGGAACCAGGGATTGAACTCAGGCCCTTGTGCTTTCCAGGGAAGTGCTTATTCCACTGAGCCATCTCCCTGGTCCCTAGAGCAGAATATAAAAATGATTGGATTCTTGAATAAGCAATATAGGAAAGAAATAAAATGCATGAAGCAGATACAAAGTGATATACAGGAATTTAAAACCTCAATCACAAGCTGGCAAAATCGTTTGAATGAAAGTGACAATAGACTTTCAGACATTAAAGACACCATGCAGCTAGTGAAAAAGTAAGAAAAGAGTTCTTAAAACAACTATGATGCAGGAAAAAATAAGTCAATACCTGCAAGACGATGCAAAGATGAACAACGTGAGACTAATAGGCATCAGTGAGAAGGAAGGAGTCAATACAAGTGATGTAAAAAGAATATGGATGGAAGTAATAGCAGAAAACTTCCCAAATATGGGGCAACAGTCTGACATTCAGTAACTGAAGCATATAGAACTCCAGATAACATCAACCCAATTAAAAACACACCCAGATATATAATAATCAAGATCCCAGAAATTCAGCACAGCAACAGTATAGTAAAAGCTGCTAAAGAAAAGAAACAGATCACATTTAAAGGAAAACCCATCAGGATAATGGCAGATTTCTCTTCACAAACCATCAAGGCAAGAAGAGCATGGAGCAAAATACTTCAAGTCTTGCAAGAAAACAAATTGCAACCCAGACTGATGTACCCTGCAAAACCCTCTTTCAAGTATAATGGAGAAGTGAAATACTTCCATGACGAAGAACAACTTAAGAATTTCATGATGACAACACCAAACCTACACAGACTACTAAAAGATGTTCTAGAGAGGGATCAAAATGACCACAACTCCATGAATGAGAATGAAAAGAACCCACCAGATAGGGCAAAAATTAAACACGGGAGAATAGGAGATATACAAAAGCAATCTTTCAGTTATTCTTTTGTATACAGCAACAAGATATTCCATCAGCACATTCTACAAATGGACTTTTCCTGCACCCTGTGGGTCATGATTACATCTGGGTCTACAGGGTGGATATCAAGGAAATAGCAGTAGCTCAGTCCTACAAGTGACACCTGGGCACCAGTAAGTGTTATGGACATTATCCATGTCCATGACATGCTAGAACTTTGTGAGATATCCTATCCCCAAACTGTTAGACGTGTTGGTCATTTATTTGTCATTCCAGTATTTATCTTATATTTTATTCTTAGCAATTCTTTACTACCATTAAACTTTTTCGTAGTTCAATTGTTTTGAAACATTTAATTTTTAATTAATTAATATTTCATTTTCTGAATATTGCTTAATCTTAATTTTTGTTTTAAGATTTATACTGCATATTTGATTTACAATCTATTTAAAAGACATAGTATGATATTTTCTCCTAGTAGCAGAAAGTTTAAAAAGTATATTTCCTAAGGGTTCATCTAATATATTTTATATAACCCTGCATAACTATCATTTTGAGAGCTCTTTATTGTTCATCCAGGAACATACTGCAACTTCTCTTGAATTTTGATTTATGCTCTTTGCTATTTCCTATATGCTATGTCTGGAGGTATTAGAATATTTCAAGTTTGTATAACTGGAAAATATTTTACTTTTAGTTTTCAAAGGTGTGTTTGCTAAGTATAAAATTTAGAGAAGATGGATTTTTTTTCTTTTAGTCCTTTAATTAGTCTAGTTTCTTACATAATTGGTCCTTTTTTTTTCTTTCTAATGTGGAATATGATGCTATTTATTTTTGTTCTTCCATAGCTAATATTTTTATATATATGCCTTAGTGATTTTTTTCTTTAGAATAAGTTTTGGACAATTTCATTTTTGTGTATCTTTATATGATTTTATTCAAATTTCTTGTGCAAAAGGTTCGTTTTTCTTGGAAATGTGGTGTTATAAGTTCAACTAAATTCAGAAATTTTAAATCTTTAAATATTTATTGCCTACCCCTTTCTACTTTGAGAATCCTAATTATATGAATATAAGTTTCTTGATTTTGACACAGAGTGAACTATTATATGACTGCTCTGTGATTTCTTTCTTCTTTATTTTAATTTTGGACAGTTTTTATTGTCATATTCATTTAAGTCTGTAAATATTTTACTTACCATGTGCAATCTATTAATCTCATGTGATGTATTCATTTCAGAAATATTTCTCTAAAAATCACTCTACATCTTATATATTTCGCATTTCAATATTTGTCTATAATTTTTAATATGATATGTAATTATTGATTTTCAGTAAAGTTAATGAAAAAATAAAGGTAAAAACAAAACGTAAAAAAAGAAAGTTCAGGGGCTGGTGAGATGGCTCAGTGGTCTGAAGCACCTACTTAGAACAAGCTTAGCAAAGCACAGGGATGGCAGTTCAATACCCAGCACCACATGCCAGCCAGCCCCACCCCCTGGTGGGCTGAGCTGGCCACACACACACACACACACACAAATAAATTTTTTTTTTTTTAAAAAAAAGGAAAGTTCACAGGTGATGTCACTGCTTGATCCAGAGAACAGACTCTAGAAAACACTGAGCATAAAGAGCTGGGAGAAAGACAGTGAGAACTGAATCTGTAGAGGTATGTGTGTGAGTGTGTGTGTGTGTGTGTGTGTGTGTGTGTGTGTGTATGGGGGGTGGTGCTTATATATCTAGTTCAGAAATTTGAACAATGTTATAGAGGGCACTGAGAAGTCACTGGAAACCACATAACCCAGCAGATATGTTAGAAGCATTACTCTACAGTGAGGAGAATGAATAGGAAAGGATGGAGGACTTGCTTATCCCGGAAACATAGTTGGAAGTTAACTGGAGGATAGTCGGAAGCCAGTCTGAGAGTAGTCTGTGTGAGATACATAATGTTGACTGAAAAGATATATAAATATTTCCCCCCATGTTCTTAGAACTATATGGATCCAAGAAATATAGGGGCAGCGTCCTGGCAATATTGGATTGGTTAGATGTGGGCAGAGGGGTGCAAAGGGAGAGAAAAAATTGAGGAAAGATACTTAGAGTTGCAGAACTTGGTGGAGAAGATTGTATCTATGGATATGGGGCCTGCTGCGGATAACACAGGGATCCATGTCAAGAATGTCTTCCAAGGCACATTGACCCCAGCCCTGTGCTCGGTATCTCACGAGACTTCACAGCACTTCTCTCTTTCATCTCAGCCACCAACATGCCATCCAGACTAAGGAAGACATAGCAGCTTTGGGGCCGCATGAGCTACAGCCAAGACCACATTGGCAAGCACCACAGGCACCCCAGAGGCCCTGGTAATGCTGGTGGCATGTATCACCTTAGGATCAACTTTGGCAAATATCCCCCAGGTTGCTTTGTGAAGATTGGTATGAGACATTACCACCTAAAGAGAAACCAGAGCTTCTGCCCAACTGCCAACCTTGATAAATTGTGGGCACTGGTCAGTGAGCAGACACAAGGAAGTGCTGCCAAATGCGAGACTGGAGCAGCTCCCATCACTGGTGCAGTGCTAGCAGGCTACTGCAGCATTCCTGGGAAGGGACAACTCCAAAGCAGCTCATCAGATTGAAGGCCAAATTCTTCAGCAGAAGAGCTGAGGGGAAGACTAAGGATGTTGGGGGAGCCTGTTGTGGCTTGTGTCCTGGTAGCTTGAAGCCACTGGACAGGGGGTTCATTAAAATGCTAACAAATGATTTTCAAAAAACAGAATGTCTTCCATGTGAAGTAGGAGAAATCTTCAAGTTTTCTTCAGCATAATGAGACTCACATTTATTAAGAGCATAGTTTTTAAGCTCTAAATGAAGTAAGGAAGTGCATGTAATAAACTCATCCTTACATTAACCCTTTCCTTGTGTGTGTGGGGGAGAGTTCTTTTTTGCGACATGGTCTCACCACACAGCTTTTTCATAACAAAAGTCTGGTTACTAACAAGACCAACTACTGCCCAAGATACTAGACCTGGAAGCATTAAGATCTGAGGAAAGAGCTGATCTGCATGGGGTCAAGCATGGGAGCAGGGATCTGAGTTGGAAGCTTCCTCCTCAAGAATCGGGCTTGAGAATGTTTATGGGATAAAGAAGTAGGGCACAGGATGAGGAGAAGTGAAATGTGCAGTATCCTACACATGTGTAATGACTTCATGACTCTTCACAAAATGAGCATTCAGACAACAGTGACCTTAGCATGACCTAAGGGTGTAGTCTCTTTGAGTTAAAAAGTCAACCCAGTTGGTGATTTCAGGAAAAGTGCTTCTCATGTCCTTGAACAGTAACCTAGGCAACCATTATTGTGACCCTTGTATCAGAGACATTATCTACAGCAAAGCTAGCAGGAGGCTAATATACTGCTGAGCCACTTGACCTCCAAAATTGATTTTTATGTTACCTAAAAGCAGATGAAACCAGAGGATTTATTTAGGTTTCTCCTATTTTACTCTGAGTAATGTCTCCTGCACTTGGTACTTCGAGCGTTTGAAATTCTATGCCACTGTCTACTGTAATCAGAAGTGCTCCTTCCTTGTGTCTTCATCCAATTAAGAAACACAGGGCTCAGATGTAAGTCTGATACAGTGCATGCCTAGCACTACGAGGCCTTGCGTTCGGTCCCCAGCACTGTCAAAGCAAATAAATAAGCAAAAAGAAAAAAAATGTACACATCGATTTACAATTATGAATGGATTTTTTTGTGTGGCTGGCTCAGCCCGCCCTAGGGGTGGGGCTGGCATGGCATGTGGTGCCGGGGACTGAACCACAGTCCCTACGCTTGCTTAAGCTTGCCTAAGCAAGCGTGTTAGATGCTGAGCTATCTCGCCGGCATCAGTGGAAAATTCTTTAGCAGCTACCCACAAGAAAAAGGGTCAGCACCCTTTTAGAAAAGAAAAAGACACAAAAGTTCACCAAATAATAAAATACACTTAAATAAATAAGAATGTCTTTAAACTCCCTTGTAATGAAAGAATGAAAATTAAAACATACTGGAAGAAAAATTTTAAAACCCAGGAGCAGGATGCTAGTGGTGTCATCAGTGTGCTCCTGACCTCCTTCCCTCCCTGTCAGAGATCCCACCATGGAAAGCCGCACAGGGATGTAGAGTAACTCCAGCCACATGAATGTGGGTGGTACAGTGACGGACTCTGAAGCTTCTCCATTCACTGGCAAAAGATCATTCTTAATTGCCATAAATGACTTAGGTACAAAATGAAAACTATACAGGGTAAAATATTTAATTTTCCTAGTTTCCCATTTTTAAATATATCTGCTCATATTTAGCTGCTACAAAAGAGCTGAGTTACTGTAAAAAAATAAAAAAAGTTCTTTATCTTGAATTAAAATACACACAGAGAGACCTACATCCACCTAGTGGTGTCACACATTAATTGCAGTTTGGGTTGTTTCTAGTGGTTTTGTTTAAGATAGCTGGGAGTGATGGTGCATGCCTCTAATTCTAGCCCTTGGGAGGCTGAGGCAGGAAGATCATTGCAAGTCTGAGCCCAGCCTGGGGTACAAAGTGGGCTTAAGTCCTGAATCACATAGTGAGACCCTCCCAAAAAAACAGAAAAAAAAAAGAAATAAAGATGATGCATGTGCTTATTGATATCTACTTTTGCCCAAATAAAATTTCTAACAATTAACATATAAAGCAAGTTTATTTTATGCCTACTGTATTCTGATACTATTTTTTGTAGATGCAATCTCTTACACACTATCTCTTAAATCCTAAAACATATGCTTATTTTTTAATTTCTAGGTGAAGGATGTTTAATCTTATTGTATTAATATTTTCCCCCATGGGTAATGGTAACAGCAACAGTCATTATTTTAGCAAGAAAGATAGCCAAGTCTTTATTAGCAGGTGATTTAAAAATATAAATAAAAACAGGCCGCATGGATAGAGGCCAAGTTTAAGGATACTTTTGAAATTTACATTGAAGAACCATTAGACAACTCATCGAAAAGCAGAACTCACACTGGAAGGAGGGAGAGATGGAGAAGAAGAAACTATATGCATTGAGAAAAATATTAAATACCAACTATTCAATGGCTCTATGACAGTAGCGTCTTGATGTGGCTAATGGTACAGGTCCTGGCGTCCCAAATGGATTGATATCCAACCCTGAATAAGTGTAGAACTAGGAGCCATCTAAAAATGTTAGCAGTGACACCAGCATCTACTACTCCCGCATGGCTGCAATTAGGATTAAACGAAATAATGAAAACAGTGTCTTGACTGCACTGTCAGGCATGCTGTAATGAAGTAAAAATACTTTTAATGACAATGACAAAAGTGGATAAGTAGTATGAATGGGGAAATAAAGTGCTTTGATAAGTTACAATGGAAAGAAATGCATGCAAGTCTCTCCCCAAGGCTTCCTATGGGCTACAGGAGCTATGAGTGGAAGAGTTCTTCTGCGAGTGGCTGAGGCACCGTTGGTCCCGAACCCCGGACTGCTGCTGCTTTCCCATAGGGCCCTGGGCCCTGACTTCTAGCTCTCCTGGCTTCTGGTTGCGGATGACAGAAGCTGCCAGCTCCAACGTGTACCTCTTCACTGTAGCCAAGGTAGTTGAACAGAACTGACGGAAAGATTTCCTTACATTACAGTCTGAGAATCTAAGTTTCAGTATGTAGTCGATTTTGTGTGTTTGCTTTATATTTTTTGAGTACAGAGCCCCTTCAGGTCCAGCTTTCGGTGACAGAAACTGACACAGTGGTGCCCATCTGGAGGAAATCCCATGAAAAGTGGCTGCTTTCCCCTGCAAGAACACATCTTGGGAATGAAACACGTACACAATTTGGACTTCAGTTAGTATTTAATATAATGTCACCTCTTTCACAGTAAACAAAGATGCAAATACAAAACTTCAAAACATTATCTGTCAGTAGTTCTGAACGTTCACAGTGGTCGCAAGGTGGGAACTGAGGTCACTGAACATTTTTAGGAAACAACTCAATCTGCATCAGGGGACTCACGTTCTGCAGTTGGAATGCAAAGCGAGGTCATTTTGTGCCAAGTGTGTTCGCGTTATAGGAAGGCAGTTTTCTTTCCTCTCCCTCATCTGGCATTAAAAAAAGTTCACTTTCCTTTTATGTTAAAATGCTATAAGAATTGGAGACTTTCCTTGTTGAAGTAAAATTAACTATACAATACAGATCTGTGTCAATACTGTTGTTAAATTTCCTCAAAATGAGTGATTCATAGAAAATTAATGGTTGGAGGTTATCATACACACCCAAGTGACAATTTAGAGTTCACAGTACAAGGCTCTGTGGTATAAGGTGCCAATGAGCAGCTTGCCATCGTAGACGGAGGCCACAGAGCTTCCCTGGAGGACAGAGCCATTGTTGGCATAAACTGTAGACACTGTTGGCTTCTCGGACAGAATGTTCTGGATGCGCAAAACCTACTCAAGAGATATAAAGTGTTAATAGAGAGCAACACACACCCACACCCCTCAGGCACCAATAATCCCTGTCTACCTCAATGACCTGATGATTAAGTGAACGTGCTGTTGAACACAGCAGTTTGCCATCTTTTCAATGCTTAAATTAATGTACTGTCTCAATCCTTCAAAGAAAGTACTTTTAAAAACCATCTTGTTATGCCATGCCAACACAGGATTTAGGGTTATTATGGCAATTCAGCATTAATAGAAATACTTACACATTAATGTTCCCACTTTCACACTACTTCAACGTGAACAAAAACCTATCACGTAGTGATCTGACAATAAACCAGATATTTTGAAAATTGCCAGCATGCTGCAACGTCTTTCACTGTTTCCACTGTAATTTAATACATCAAAAGATAATCTTTCTTAAAGTATTTGAACAATATAATATTCTGTCAATTATTGGCTTAAGGTAATTGCAAAACCACTTGGAAAATTTACTGTATTATTGGTCTAAAAGAACTAATAAATCATCCCTAAGACAGTTTATTGCATTGCTAGTTCAAAATGATGTGAATAATTAAGGTTGAAAAACCAAAAATATAAGAACCTCTGAGGAAGGAGGATTGTTCGGGTTGTACACAAATAGCTTCTGACCGTTAGGATGACAGCCGGCCCAGACGTCCCCAGAGAAAGGGTCGATGGATAAATTATCCACCAGGGTATCCAATGGGAGAACCTTCCAAAGGAAAAGATGTCAATATCTAAATGACGTTAGAAACCTGATTAAATAATTTGGAGCTAACCTTTCCTGCCTCTATGTATACAGGGAAATGATGCGTATTTCCCTGCCTCCACCTGTCTAACACCAGTATTGCTTAAAATAACTTCAATAAACTAGTTTGGAGCTATATTTTATCTTTTCTGAAATTAAGAAAGTTAGACTGATAACCTAACTTTCTTAAAAGACGGATAGTGATCAGTTATGTCAAGGAACTCCACCCAAGCAAGGTAAAAAAATGTTTAATCCACCCAAATATGTGTTGTCAAGCAGGTAGAAAATAATAATGGTGTAGAACTCAACTTCGACCATCATTTACTATTGAAAGAACTGACAATGTGCAGAAATCTTCCTTTGAAAATTCATCTAATAGTCTTTTCAGTTGTGAAAATTCTTCTTGGAATTCATTGAATGCCATCAGTTCTTCATGGGAAGAGCCCCAAATCTGATGCAAATATCTCTCAAGCTGTGGCTGCACATAATTGCAGTCGGTCCCTGTGGTCTCTGGGAACAGGAATTTCACTTGTTCTATGGAGGTATATTTAAAAACAAAATAGCTACACTGGCGTCTGGATTCTAAAGACAATATTATGGTTACTATAGAACTGCAAAGCAGATCACATTAATATCTGTACTTAAAAAATATTTACCTTTGATTGAGTTAAATTCATATCCGGTTGTTTTTCCAGAACATGAATTTCATGAGCCAATATGTCAGCCACATAGATGTACCTTTACAGAAAAGGACACACTGTTAGCTTTTCCTGCCAATAGAAAGCTTCCAAATAGAGTATAAAAGAATAAGTCTAGGGGCTGGGGAGATGGCTCAGTTGAATAAGTGCTTGCTGGCAAGCACAAGGGCCTGAGTTCAATCCCCTGTTCTGCCAAAAAAAAAAAAAAAAAAGAGTAAGTCTTAATAACCTGCCAAGAAATTAATCAATGATGGCCCTAAAGGGATGTTTCATAAAGGTCAATTTTTAGTTAACAAATAAGCTTTCTGAAGCAATTCAGTAGTATCCCAACAATGTGGAATTATTCAATAATTTTTCAAAATGTCTGTAATAAAAAATGACATTGAACATAAAGATCATGACACTTGCCACTGAAATGACAATGGGACAAATATTAAGTTTACATTCCACAGTATAACTTGATATTTCTATTACTTGCATATATGAATATGTGGTACAAAATACATTTTATTAAAATAGTTATTAATATTAATATTTAATAAAATATTAGTACATGGAAAACCTCAAGAGAAAGAGATATGTATCTATTCAAAACAATCTGTCTACACCTAAGGGAGAGGGGGATTAATAAATCATCTTAAGGCAAATTTACTCACTCAACTGTTTATTTCCTGGCAACTGTCCCACTGAGTAACCATGTGTAAAGCCATAAACTTAGTGTGGTGACAAAAACAGACACGAAGCAGACACAGCCTCTCCCCCCAGAAGCTTACAGTGAGATGGAAGGACACAGTCACTAGTAAACCCGAGCCCCACTTGGCCGGCATGGCTGGCACCACAATAAACAGTCCAGGTCTACCTAGCGACTAAGTAACAACACAGTGGCATAATGACAAATGGTCAGCACAGGCCGGGGAGATAGCTCGGCAGCCTATGTGCCTGTCTGGCAAGCGCACGGACCTGGATTCAATTCCCACCCAGTACTGCATGCCCTGTAGGCCCTGTGCTGAGCCAGCCACCAAAACCAGGTGATGCATGCCTGTAATCCCAGTACTGGGGAGGCTGAGACAGGAGACTCACTATGAGTCTGAGCTATGTAGCAAGGCCCTGTACCAAATAAATGAATATATATGGACTGTGAAAGGGCAGGTGTTTCTATAAATAAAAAGCTTTTATCAGTAAGATACCAAATATTGCTAAAATAAAGGTTACATATACCAGAAATTTTGAGGCTCGTACACGTGGCTTTTAAAACATCAAAGGTTTTGCGTGTTTCACAAATAGTGTTTTTCTTCCCTCTCAAAACAAGTGAACCATTAATAGAGGGATTTTTTGTAATAGTTCTTGTAAATAGGATATCATGTTTGTATCTTGTATAGCAATTAAACACTAGGAAGAATGTATGCAATGTGTTAATTATTGAAACTGTCCTATCAATTTGATTTGAAACTGTCTCATTGCTCTTTATTTCTCAATAAAATTATGGAAAAAAAAAAACCAACACAAATAGAAAAAAAGGAAGGAATTAGGCCAGTGGAATGACTTTGGAGAAATGAAGATGTTCTGTAATACATCATACTTTTTATCAGGTGAAATATTAATCCCATTTGCTGAATCAAATCCTTCAGCTACCACTTTCACTTCACTTGGACTATAGTAAACAACATTGGCCCAGCGTAAGTTCAAGTACGTCTCCAAATACTTTAAAAAAGGATCAGAGAAGTAGTGGTCATTGGTGGCATAGAAATGCATTGGTCCAACGGCTATGATATCATTTGTACTGAAAGAGAAAAACAACGTGAGAGAAAATAAATATAAATGTTGATATCAATCTTAAAGGCTCAGTATTCACAAGACTCACATGAAATCTCACTTTCCTGAGAGTGTTTCCAGGAGAAGAGGAGTTAACATTCGATGGTGAAATTCATGTGCCTTATACTCTAATATGATTTCCAAGAGGATAATTGTGTATGGTAGCAAGTAATTTTGAGGATAGGTCATTTAGCAATTATGGCAGAATCATTATGAAAGAAAGGAGAACTCGGTGCCATCAGGGTCAGCTTTGTGACACAAGTCACACATGAGGACAGGGCTTCCGCGTCACAGCTGGTTAGCTGTCCGTCCACAGTGTTCAGCTCACTCATGTTTACTCAAGGCGCTAGATTTTCCTGAGGCTCCTCACTTAGTTATTCCTCAAAGGTTGACCGTCCCATTTCTACCTGCCTCACATAACCAACACGCCAAGACCGAACAGGCACTCGGTAAACACTGCAGAGGTGGATGACGAAACTGCTGGAGAGCAGCGCTTCGGAGGAGAGACTGATATGATAAAACAATTACATTTTAAAACCAGCTAGGCCAGGGTGTTATTAAATTTCAATCTCAATTTTCCTATGCAAAAATTTCTGAAAGAGCTTCCTTCTCCCTTGTCAAGTGAAAAATAGAGTTCTAGGGAGGTGAGTCTCTTTTTTTTTTCTGAAAGAGCTCCCCACTTCAGAGGCTGCCTATTTATTATGATATTTATGATCCTGTTCATTATGAAGTACATCTTGGGGAAGGATGACTGGAAGTTACATGCTTATACCTTAGGCAGGACAGTAGAAATTAAAAAGACCTATCAAATTTAAACCTAAGGCAGATGGTTCCTGAAAGCTGAGCTGGAGGCCAGGCACAGTCCTCCCTTAGTCACATCATCCACCAGTGATGTGGTCTTGGAGCAGTAGTGACCCCTTAGCAACTTGACTGTCTCCAATTCTACAGGCTCAATTGGTCCACAGCCATGGATAGCTGCAAGAACAGCTTGCATACTAAGTCTTATACTAGCCAAGCTACTGTCCCATGGCAGGGCAAGTGTATAGGTGTTGGGTCATCTAAGATAAAACGGCAGTCCTCTCCAGGAGACCCAAGAGTACTACTGCCTGCTAGTTCTGGATTTTTATTTTATTTACCTTCTCAATGAAGTCTACATAGAACACAGATTATTATAAAGAGTGACATCAACTTTCAAACGCCTGCTTTCCCTGAGTCACAAGGGATTTTGTGTGTGTGCGTGCACACATGTGTGTGCAAGCACGTGTGCACAGTATGTTCCTTATCCAAAATGCTTGGGAGTTGCTGTGTTTCTGATTTTTAATATTTTTGGAATTTGAAATATCTGTATATATGTTATCTATGTCCTAGGAATAAGACCTAAATCTAAACAAAAAATTCATTTGTGTTTCCTATGCACACATAGCTGGAAGGCAGTTTTACACAATATTTTTGAAAATCTGTGCATGAAACATTTTCCACCTGTGGCACCAGGGTGGTCCTCAATAACTTTTAGATTATGGAGCACTTTGGATTGTGAATTTTTAGGTTAGAAATAAAAGCTCCACTTGTATATGCACACACAACTGCATGAACTCTCATATTTAATATATGTTGTATATTAGATTTTATATTGTATATGAGCTAAGTACGTACTAGCTCTTTAAAAGGTGAGAAGACTGTTCATCATGATGGAAGGCATATGAAAGAAACACTAGAGGAAAAGCGAATGAACAAAAGGAGGAGGTACCTGGGAAGAAGCTCATGTTTGATTGTTTTCAGGTGCAGCAGAGAATTTTCTTCTTCTTCAAATTTAAAAATTTCTACCGTATTCTTGAATTCAGGGTGGTTTACAACAAAGAGATAAACTGTGTCATCTAAAGAGTTGAAAGAACAGAGTTAATTTACAAGAGGTCATAACCATAGGACTGCTGCGCAGACACTGATATTCAAATACTATGACAAGGAAAGGCTGAATGTGCAAGCTAGCAGGTCATCTCCCCAGTCCTGTCCATCATTGTCTGACTGGTGTTATCTCTAAACATTGGTCACTGACCTTTACAAAGGAGTGTTTCCCACTCTATATACAGAATTCATGCATAATCTGTTCATAGCTCAATTTACAAATATAGCTCTTTTCAATGATTATAGGTTTGTGAAAAGGTTATGAAACTTAAACATTCTTTCAAAATGTAGCATAGCACGCTGCTAGCTGAAGAGACAAGCAAACACGCTGTGTGAAGAATAGAGGAATAATTCCTGAATTACTCTCCCATCAGTACGACCCAATCACTTGTCTGTGTTTCTCAGCACTGCTAACTTAGCAGGTCTTACCGTCGTCTATGAATGTGCTGATGCCATGTGGATTAAATGAAGCCAGATCAAATCCTCGGCTGATTCTTAATTCCAGTGCCCTGGCTCTCTCTTCATTTAGATCCATCAATAGTATTCCTCCAGGTTTATCTGGTGCAAAGCTATGGAGTCCTGGAAATTTCAGACCCTTCCCAAAACAGTGAAAAGATTAAATACAAAACTGTAAGTACTTAGGTGGACTAAAGTGGGAACACCCCATGGAGGATAAATACACTCTTTGGTTAAAGGTGGCAGCATAAAGCCATAAACACAAGAGGAACAGAAGACAACAGGAAAAAAATAATAATAATTAGGAGCTGAAAAGCTGAGCAGTAAATAGGCTACATTAAAAAAGGACCTACTTTATGCATAAATTGGACATAATAAGAAATCCTTTAATTCTTAAAAATCTACCTACAATTGCATATTGGTAAGGCTGGCAGCTCTGGGAAGTAGAACAATCTAGAATTATACCACTGGTCTATGGCTGTGCCACTTCAGCTGGTAATAATTTCCATTCTTTATTAACGTCCCCAAAATAACAGCATGGTGTATCTGCACAGGAAGCACTGCCAGACAGTAACAGTTATTCATGGTTCTCTTCATACTTGCCATTATTTAAATCTTTTATCGTTCTAGAAATACATTTTATTTTTAATTGTGATAAGACATGAAACGCAATTCACCATTGTTACCATTTTGAAGCTCAGTAGCATTAGGTGCTTTCACCTTGTTTAAATCATTTAATTCTGTTCTTTGCTTTAAACTCTCCTTGATGTTAGTTTTGAGGTGACCCTCAAATCCAAGCCTAGGAGGGTAGCTAACATATTAGGAAGAACAAATGGCTTCCGTCACATATGAGGTATTCATCTACAAGGAAAGGCACGCTGGGAAGTGTTGAAGGCCACACTGGACACGCGAAGGACAGCAGTAAAAAGAAAGTTTCTACATTTGTCAAATAAAAGTCCTACAATCAAGGATAGCTAACAACAACAACAACGAGCAGGAAAATTTCACTGACACAGTCAGAAGACCAGTCTGACTAGACTATGTCCCTCAGCTAAAAGGACTGTATCCAAGTGCTGGAGGCCTCGCTGCTTCTTCAGATTTATTCCTATGGGGGCAAAACTCTTGAAATATGTAAGTCCAGAATTTTACAAATCTCAGCAACACACCCTTGCAACAAACAAACAAACACTGATACAACTGCCTTCTATTTGAGCTGGGCTGTCTGCCTCTCTAGTCATGAATAACCAATCGAGGCTAGTCTCAACGTTTTCCTCACACCTGTAACCACACTCTTCCAGACAAACCCAGTGTCCTACTGTAAATATCACCTGATTCATTTTGTGTAGGCAGTCAGATAAAAACTTTACTTTTAAAGCCATGTCTTAAAAATTAAATATGAATATTGAAGCTTTTGCTGAAACCCAAGGTATCTCTTTTTCCCTCTGTGGCAATAACCAGCAACAGTCATGGAAAATCCACCAGGCACCTGAGGAGTGTTCTGACCCCCAGCGCTCTCCAACCTGAGTCCTTGCACCTTTCTCCTAAGTCTGACAACTAGTTTATTGGTGTTGCAGCTGTCTTCCAACCTGCCCCCAGGTGTTTCACATCCCTCCCGAACCTCAGAGCCTGAAAATAATGGATGCTGCAGGAAAAGAGAATAATTACAGGCAGGCTTTAAAGCCCGGTACCTCTTCCTCAGGAAAAACTGGAGCCAAGGAAGATGCAAGAGCCCAGGAAGATGGACCTCCGCCGGTTGGAGAAAGGCACGCCTACTTCCCCATCGTGCTTATCTGAATTTGCAGTTAGAATGGACACTGGTGGGCTGGGGAGATAGCTCCACTGACTAAGCGCCTGCCTGGCAAACACAGGGACCCAAGTTTGAGCCTTGGTACTGTGTGCCCTGCCAGGCCTGAAATTGGGTATGGTGGCGTATGCCCGAAATCCCAGCACTGGGGACGCTGAAGCAGGAGAAACACTACAAGTCCAAACTGTGCAGTGAGACCTTGTATCAAAAAAAAAAAAAAAACACCTGCAATGTATTAATTATTGTAACTATCCTACTAACCTGTTTTGAAACTGTTTTATTGCTATTTTTTCTCATTAAAATGAATAAAAAAATTTAAGAAAATTGAAAACAAAAAAACAAACAAACAAAAAAGTGAGCCTGCCATGCTGCCCCCGCCATGGGATGTGCTGAGACAGCGACTGAGACTGGGCGTGGTAGTGCGTGCCTGTAATCCCAGCACTTGGGAGGTTGAAAACAGGAGGATCACCATGAGTCCAATCTACGCAGTGAGACCCTGTAGACACTGTAGACCCTGTACTAAGTACATTAAAAGAAAAAAAAGGACACTGGTGTGGGCCTGTGGCAGGCAGCCCGACCAGTTTTGAAGTCTTTCTATTGCTTGCTCAGAAGGGATATTAGTTTTTGGCTTATAAGAATTAAGGCAAAAATGAAGGGGATGAGGAAACTTGGTGACTTCCAATTATGCTGGTTGTACAGGGAAAAAAAAGAAAGAAAGGGGTTGGGGAGCTAGCTCAGTAGAGTAAGTGACTGCCTGGCAAGCCTAAGGCCGTGAGTTCAAACCCAGTGCGGCCAAAAAAAAAAAAAAGGAAGTAGCAATATTAGCCTTGGCTAGGGAGGTTGTTACAATGAAATATAACAAATATAAATTTGTACAAAAGAAAATGCTTAAAACTGAGTATATCATGGAAAGGGTAGATGTCTTATTTAAAATAGTGTATTAGCAATTATTATTATACTCTCTTTAAAATAAATTTTATTTTATTTTATTTTTAAAGATGAGAACAGAGAGTTTTTACTACCCATCTTAACATATTTACATTGTTAATTTAAAAAATTTTTGAGGGTAACCTTGCCTTTTCCGGTTACTGCTACATGTCCAACGTGCAGCATTGTGCCTTGCATTTGCAAAAATTAAATGTATTTAATGGTCAAACTACTTACGCAACACATACCCCAATATCTTTTAGGTATATACAGAAATATGCAACTCTAGAGGAATTAACTAAATATTTTGGGAACTATTCAACTACCAAAATTACAAAATTTAGAAACTAATAGCAATAATTCCGATAGATCAACAATTGACAAAAATATATTACCACTTGAAAGCAAGTGGTAATATTCAATCGTCTGTCCAATCTTGTATCACTGTTAATCTGAGCAACAGATATATGACGATAAAAATAGATAAAAGAACAACCACTGCTAATTAGCTATTCTTGTTAATGAAAATCTGTAACATATGCATTGTTGCATGTTACCCTGTTTCTATTTATTTATGCTTTTGCTTTTACTCTTTAAAATAAAATACAATAAAAATAGTATATTAGTAGGTATGCTATTTACTAATTAATATTATCCACAGTGATGCTTCCAACATCCATTTTAATAACACAGATTGTATCAGGTGAGATATTCTAGTGCAATGCAATGAGAAAATAAACCAACATGAGCTATTTAGCAAAGACGTTTCATCTCTGTATTTAGAAAAGCTTGAAGAAGTTTTCTAAAAGCATTTATTTATTTATTTATTTGGCACAGGGTCTCACTATACAGTTCAGACACATAGTGATCCTCTTGTCTCAGCTTCCTCAGCGCTGAGATTACAGGCATGTGCCACCCCACCCAGTTTCAGTGGCTGGCATGGTGTTCCTGGGGTTTCGGGGTAGGCACAGCATGCGGTACTGGGGGTCAAACTCAGGACCTTGCACTTACCAGGCAGGTGCCCAGACCACCAAGCTATCTCCTGAGCCCCTAAGATTCAGTTTAAACCCATTGTTTTCCAGAACATATTTTGGAAAGTGAGTAATTTTAAAAGCAAAGCATCAGTTTCCCGGCCTGCCACTCCTCCAGTGGGATTGGGAGAATATGTTACTCACCGCACTAAAGAAAGCCAGGCCATTGGGAAGAATGTCAATGTCTTCAGCGCCAGCTTCTGTAATCCAAGAAGCAGGAAAATATCACTTTTCAAGTGCTGTTACCTGAGGTAGCACACCTATGACCCTATTGATTTTATCAGAGTCTGTACCTTTAAGGAAGATTCTGCTTTTTCAATACACCATTTTCTTAAGTTAATTTCTATCTAAACCATTTCCTAAAATGAACTTCTGACTTCAAATGTTGGCTATTTTGTGTTTACTCAAATCAAAGTCAAGTTATCACTGCATTTCTTACTACAGTACAGAAAAAGTTGACATCTGAACACTCTTAGGATAAACATCCAGATGTCTGTACAGAAGTAATTGACACCAGGGGGATAGGACTTTCAGAGGAGAAGGCTCCCAGTCACTTAACCATGCAAATATCCTTGTCCCCTCTCTTCTCACTCAATCTGAGGCAGAAAGACATTGCGCTCATTAACAGAGACAAACAGAGACAAAACACCTGGGAGTGCATGCTCCCTCTCAAACAAGTGCCCATTTGTTCTCATAAGCAAAGAAAGCTTTCTCTTTGAGCTTTAAATTTAGGCTCTAAATTATATGAGAAATGAGGAGAAAAAAACAAAATTAATGACAAATACCACCCAAGTAAGTCAGTTGGAGCTTCTTACTCCCATCTCTGAAGCAGGCTATTACTATTGATTATTTATTGACTGTCTGCAGCATAGTTCATATAGCACAGCAAATAATTAGATATAGGTTTCCCAGTGACTCACTGCATAAATTCCAGACAGATAATAGACTCAAACCCAAGAAAATAAGAATTAAAAATGGCTTAAATTAAGCCAAATCATGACACTTTCTTTGAGCCTATAAAATCCAATCTTCCTCTTTAAGACTTCTCCACAGGATTTCTTTCTCCTAGATTACTTCTACATTGTCAAAAATAAGCAATATGCATCTATCCATCATTTTGGTTTTGATTCATGAGTTTGCATTTAGCCAGTTGCTACTGTTTTACCACAGCCCAGAAAAGCAGAATTAAAAAAAAAATTGCTCAGAACATGACTGTAGAAAGATGATCCATTTGGCTATACCTTTGAGAGAAAATATATATAGAAACTCAGGCACGGTGTTTTGGAAAGGCCTGTAGACTCCTGAGGAGCCCCAAATTCACTTTAAACAATCTGTGGGTCCTCTGAAATTATATGTATTGCCAAAGTCTGTATAAGCTCAGATGAGAACTTTGGTTCTCAACCTTCAGCAGATTCAAAGAAGGATCTGATTCCCCCCAAAAAAGAACCACTAGATCTAGGTCCAGAGTGGTTTAAAACTGAGGAAGGCACAGGGACAAGAACTCTACCCCTCATCCACCTCCCACACAATTTTAGTCCAAGTTTTGCTTTCTGGTGCATTTGATGGAAGTTCAACTAATTAAAATTTGTTTTTCTCCTTACAAAAAACATTAAGAAAATTTAATCTCAGTGTATATGCTTAAATATAAAAAATTAACAATGCCTCTTTAGATGGTAGACTGATGAATGATCTTCATTTTCTTTATACTGTTTTTAAGATTTTCTATAGGCTAGGGGTATAGCTGAGTAGTGGAGTGCATGCTCAGCCTGCCTAAGGCCTTGTGTTAAATCCCCAACACCAAAAACAAATAAAATTGAAGGACAAAAATTGCTATAAATTTTAATATTGCTTTATCAAGGAAAGAATATTTTAAAGGAATGGTTCCATTAACTCCATTCTGTTTATCTCATTGTAACTCCATTCTGTTTATCTCATTGCCTTATTCTGATGAAGAAAACCAGCCTTACTGGCAGCCACCTTCAGAATATTTTCCAGATCTGCTCACCCATCTTCACTTCTATCGCCGGGGCCGTCATGAGATTTTATTATCTCCTATCACCACTGCTCTTGTGATCACTGCAAGAACAGTCGCAGCTACAGTAGCTTTCTGTCTTCTCCAATTCAGTAATAATAGCAGTGACAGCTACCAACAAACATTAAGTATTTATCAAGTACGAGGCGCTCTGTAAATACTTTACACACAATATCTCATATAAATTCATAATGCTCAGAGGCAGTATTATTATTTTAAATATGAGAATACAGAGCCTTTGAAAAGTTAAGAAAATTGCTCAGAATCACAAGATGAAAAGCTGAGATTCAAATCCTTTGGTCTAATTTAAAAGCACACAGAAACTATTCAACTCAGCAATTAATATATATACATCTATATATTCACTGACTCCATTTTTCTAAATCCACTCAAGGTCACTTCCATATGTTGGTTTTTTCCCTCAAGACTTTTCCTGCATACCTCCCATCTCAATCTTACCAATCTATAACATGTACATTTCATGAAAGTCTTTCCAAATCCTTTCTCCAGAAAGTCTTCCCACTATGCAGATTTAATTCGGACCTCTTCTTATTCCTGCATGGATCACTTGTCTGTGTCTCACACGGCCGACTGCTCCCCAGTATCGACCCTCTTCTTCCTCCTTTTCGCAGCAGGCACATGGCTGCGCAGCTGCAGGTGACCTTCTTCCTGAACCTTTTCTCGCTTCCCAAGAGGGGCACACTTTCTAAATTCAGGTCCATAGGACATGAGAGCAGAAAATATACACAGCTATTGAGTAAAATAAGATCAAAATGTAAGTGTTCTTTCTACTCTTTCTGGAGAGAAATGGTAACAAGTGGAGTTCTAGTCTTAGGCCAAGATGGAACAACTGAAAGACAATGGTGTGACTCTGTGTGTCTTTGTCCCTACATAACCACCCGAAGGCATGGGAAGCACAGTTATCTGATCACCTAGGGTCTTGGCCATTTGCTTTCCTTTACACTGTTACATAAGGGAAAGATGAACATAAACTGCTCTCTTCTCCAAACTATTACAACTTTGTGGCAGCCGGCTAGTCCTTACCAAGTCCAATAGCATATGTAATATGTACTACAGCTGATTATTTTCTACTTTTTTATTCATGAGTCTGGTATGCATGTTAATCACCCCGGAAAATAATACTATATTAAAAAAAGAGTCTTCAAAATCTCCTTAATATCTACAAGACTCAAGGTTTTTTTTTTTTTTCTTTTGGTACTGGGGATCAAAAGGGCCTCGTGCTTGCCAGACAGGTGCTTATGCCACTGAGCTATCTCCCAGCTCAATTTTTTATTGGTTATAAAAATAGAAAATATATCTTTGGCTTGGGGTTTTGCTTGCTTCCACTCTTTTCTCCCTAAGTATATGTATGATAATGGTTATGAACATCAGTGTTTTTCTTTGAAGAACAGGTATGGTAAAATTCTTGATTGTTAAATGCATCACAATATTAGTTAACTTTTGGGGGGAAGAGACAGACACAGACAGACACACAGACAGACAGACAGACAGACACACACACACACACACACACAGAGAGAGAGAGAGAGAGAGAGAGAGAGAGAGAGAGAGAGAGAGAGATTATTCAGAATTTTCTTTTAGCCCAGAGCTCAGTATTCTAAACATTTAGGAAATAAGATTTTAAACTTAAAGTCAGACTAGCTTTTGTCAGTATATAGATACTGATATTATGCTAAAGCTTCAGTGTAACAAACTTCTTTTCTGCTTGTAAATGTAAACTTAGAATTAAAAAAAGATGGAATAAGGAATTTACTTTCTGCCTCACAAACGTGATGCCTCCCGTATGATATGTAGTCAATGCTTCTTATTTATGAAATCAAGAAGACATAAAGTGATAAAGCATTCATTGCAAAGGGAGTGTGGAGGGTCGGGGCAAGGGGTAAGGGATCGGCTTTCAGTGACAGCTATTACTGCTTCCAGAACAGGAAATAAAAACGAGAGCTTCTCTATTCTTGTTGTCTACCGTAACAAGTTGTGTATGTCTACGCAGGAATGTACGTCCAGCTTCCTAGCATTCTTTACGACCAAAGACCATCAGATAAGCAATTGTTTATTAAAAATATGTAACCACAAGCTATTATTAATCACTGTGCACCATTAACATTGCATCCAACAAATGCTCAACAAATGTGTGCTCTGTATTATCCAGGAGACAACAGAAAAAGAGAAAGAACGAAAAGGACAACTCTAATTAGATCAAAGCCTGTATCCCAAAGGTGCTTCTAATCACTCATCTTCTTCACTCGCTTGCCTTCTGAAGTGTCTGGGGGACACTGAACACTTCAGGAGAGAGACCGGAGGTGACAGGTTTCCTCCTTTTTTCCAACTGCAGACAGCAACTCATACGCATCACAGCGTAAAGGTCACAAACACAGACAGATGCCTATACAGAATACAAATATTACAAGGCTTGTTTATCTCTCAGGTGTGCTCCGTCCCAGTGAACTGTAACAGGAATACACTCGGCAGTTTGTCCTCTAATGCGTCTGGCTGTGTCCTGCTGTCTACTCTGAGACTTGAATTCACAGAAGATAGACTTTCACTGGGCCTGAGGCTGTTCAGTGATGTGATATTTATTAACTCCCTAGCAAAACCAACCTAGGAGATCAGTGACCTAACTTCACACTTATGTCCCACGTCCCTCACAGATACCACCTACCTCTTGCTAGACAATTCTGAGGGGCTCTTTTGATGGCACCCAGAAGCCAGGATGAAGCTGCTAAGGTCCTGGGAACTTAAGAACCACCTCAGTGCTAGAAATGGATGGGTTACCTGGCGTGGATCTCATCAATCTGGTATCTACTAGTTTACAACCTCCTGGTAAAGGCTAAGACCTGGCAGAAAGAGGAGCCCCAGAAGACTCAACTGGCCTAGGTGGAGGGAGACAGGGTAAGGAAAACATGGAAGTAGTAATAAAAAGTAAACAACACATAGGAAAGAGATGATCAAAGACTGGAGGAGCAAGAAATCGATCTGTAAAGAAGCTCTGAGCCAGGTGTGGTGGTACACACCCGTACTTGGGGAGGCGGGAGCTGGAGGATCACAGATTGAAACCCAGCCTGGGCAACTTAGCCGGACACTGACTCACATGGAAAAAATATGCATAGGGGTATGTGCAGTGGAGGTTCTGGGTTCAGCCCTTGTACTCCTCTCCCCCAGAAAGGAAATGTAACCAAGTTTTCTCTGATGATCGATGTTCTCCTTTTGCTAAGGGAGCGCTGCGCATTGTGTCAGGAGCAGGAGCGCCATTATGAAACACTAAGTTTGTCGGTGTTGCCAACTTGATGCACTTTAGTGAGGGCTACCAAACTCCAGGCGCTGTCTCTCACCCCTAGATGGTACGTGAGGACTAGAGGGGCAGTTAGTCTATTATTTCCACCAAAGGGCTCTCGGAGCAAGAGCATAAATGAATGGGTCAAGATTTTAAGGCACTCAGCCTAACTACAATCTCATCATTGCAGGTGAGAAAATAGCAGAGACCAAGCTTGGCCCAAATTCCCGTTGCACATGGATGGCAGAACCCGAACCAGAAACCAGGTGTTTGGACTTGTAGCTCCTTTGTTTGTAATCGCACCATGAATTATCTTGAAGAAGAGCCCGTGTTTTCATTGTTCATCAATAACTCAGCAAATTGTCCTACAGATTTTTGTAGATGACAAAGGGTGAAAAAACTAACACGACACAGCCCTGAAGGAAGTGCAAGGGAGCTGGAGAGACCCTCAGTGCTGGGCGAGAAGCTGGACGGAGTGCTCACTGCCTGCAGCAGAAGGGGCTCGATCTCTGGAGCTCCTCTTAAATCTGAGGGCTGGCGTTCCCTCCACGGAGTGGGGGGACAGGGACAACCAATCACTAAGGGCTCTCACTTCTGCAGAGACAGCTGAGGAGGTAAAACAGGAACACTTTCTTGTAAGGCCAATTCGTGAAGCATCAATTATCTTTAGGCATGAGATAAGAAGCTGGTTACAGGGTAGTGAAATGGGCAAGACGAATACTGCCTGGCTTTGTGCAGCTTCCCCCCACTTCCGGTCACTAGCTGACCATCGCGACAACGGAACACAGACGTCTGAGGCAGTGCGCAAAGAAAGAGAAGTCTTGCAAGTACAATTCACAGAAGTGACAACACAGCAAGAAGCCAAACAGGAAACATGGGATTATGCAGCTAATAAATTACAATGAACATTAAGAAAGATATATACCGGATGTGTGAGGTTGAAAGAGACCAGACAGGTTTCAGTTGCTCTAACTGCTGGAAAACAGTAACTGCATAACAAACAGCTTTTAACCAACATTTTAATGTTGATAGCCAAGTAATGTAATGTGTACAGCAAGCATTGTCTCATACATACCAATTCCTTTAATTAGATGGCAGTTGGGAAGGTCGATGGATTCGATTTCTCTGGAGACTTTAAGTCGATTTCTGTTAAAAACAAAACAAAATAACTTCTTGTTTCTGTGCTCCATTTGGTTTGGGAAAATATTTAAAGGAGGCCTTTAGCAATATAAAAAGCAGCATATATTTAAAACAGATGAAGGAGGGCAGAGGATCAAATGTAGGGACATAAAACAGATCCAGCGAAAGTGAAAACACAAATGCACAGCACTGAGTTCTACATAGGGATGTGTGTGGTAAAACAATGGCCAGGATGTACGTAGTCACACTAGGGGGACGCTCCTAGGAGATCTCGGAGAGAGGGCCAGGACACCTTTCTCGCAGCTCTGAAGTGGGAGGAGCGCTCAGGCGGAGAGCCAGAGCCAGGGCCAGAAGCCGTGTCTTCCTGCTGAAGAGCCAGGACACAGCAAAACATCAGGTGACAGGGAATTCACGCCAGGACTACAAGGAGGCCAGAAGAAATGGCGCTGCTCAGAGACTGGCACAGGGCGGCTACACCCAACCACTACTGAGGAGTCACGGGGGGATCCCGTCCTCAAGGCAAGATGATTTGGAGAGCACCAACTACTGCTGTGACTGTGGCCGCAAGGTGTCATGCTCCAGTGGTTCAGGAAAACAAAGAAGAAATAACAAGGGAATGCTGAACTCTGATTTTTTTTTTCCGGGGGAGGGTGATTATCGGAAATTGAACTCAGGCCCTCAACGTTGCCCAGCAGGCACTGCGCCACTGAGCTAAATCCGCAAACCTGGGCTCCGATATCTTGCACCTTCCTTTCTGCCTGCCAGGCCACAAGGCAATTTGGTCCTATACCTGTGGACATGATTAGGAAGCCATATACTACCACTACCGACTGTCAGTTCTCTCTTTCTCACTTTGTCTCTCTCTTCTTTAGAATCATAGAACAATCTTGCTGCAAGGAACTTTGTTCTATGAAGGGATTCCCACAGGTGTTGGCTCCTTGCCTCTCTTGTATTCAAATACACTGAGTATAAGGAAGGCTACTGGTTTCTCAGTGAAATGTTTGGAAGTCCAGGCCTAGATAACCAAGTGTTATGCCCAACTATACAGTTTGGCAAGTCAGCTCCTACATAAAATCTCTAGGTAATCAGCATATATTCAGAATCACACAATCCAAATAGCAATGTTTGAAATAAGGAAATAAATAAATAATGTATAAATATATAAATGCAACACAATGTAACAATTATTTACACAAAACAACAATAAATAAATAACATATAAATATATAATGCAATACATTGTAGATATGTTAAATAAGTAAAACTTGAAAAAGATAAAAGCAATAAAAATACAGTCTCAAAAGACGTTTGATTCATACACACTGAAAAAGAGCCACTTAATATTTTTCTGCACATGTGCATGGCCTATGTGCCCCTTAGAGCCAAAATGGAATGCAGGGGAACATATCAATTATGACATTATTTTACAACTAAAATGATACTGTAAAAAGCAAAATAGTGGAAAAAAATGTCTTATGTTCAGATTTTGTTTGCATTAGGGTCATTGTTATCTAGTTTTAAAAGTGTAGCTGTCAGGAACCAGAGAAGCAGGCAGCTCAGGTGCCTGCTATCCCAGGGCCTAAGGCTGCGCCTCCCTAACCTTTAGAGCTTAAGGACGAGACAGTGTTGATCACAGCTTCGCCCATTCCTGAAAGTGTGGTTTCCCCTATTTGCCTTCCTTTTTTCCTTCCTTCCTTCCTTCCTTCCTTCCTTCCTTCCTTCCTTCCTTCCTTCCTTTTTCTTTCTTTCTTTCCTTCTTTCTTTATTTTTCTTTCTTTCTTTTTCCTTCCTTCCTTCCTTCCTCTCTTCTCTTTCTTTCTTTTATTAATTTTATTGAGAAACAAATAGCAATGAGACAGTTTCAAAACCAATTAGTAGGAAAGTTTCAATAATTAATACACTGCATATTGTTGTCTTCGTAGAACTTATTCATAGTACAAGATGCTGACATGTTATCCTGTCCAAACACTATTAGTACAAATTTTTCTTCTCACTGAATTAAGAGAAAATAACTGTATATCTACCCTAACTATTTTTTATGTACAGATACAAAATGGTCCTTCATTTATATCCCCTTTTTCTGTTTAGTTTTGTCAGAGAAGCCGGGGAGATGGCTCAATGGAATAAGCACTTGCCTGGTAAACACAAGGGCCTGAGTTCAATCCCCGCTTCCGCAAAAAAAAAAAAAAAAGTTTTGTCAGAGATGGGAATTCCATGTTATTTAAATATTGTAGGTACGTGAATTTGTTGCAGGCAGCTGAGTTAGATAGACATATTATAGGCAGTCAGACAGTGCCAGGCCCTCGAGGGAGATACCACAGAAGACAAGATACCTTACAACTGTAGGAGGGAGGGATGCTCCCACCGTGGGCCAGACCTAAAGACCAAAGATCAAACAAATGCTGCCCTCCCTAAAGATTGGCATGTCAGATTGATCATCATCCTGAGGGAGCCAGAAGAATCGTTAATCCGACTACTACTGGATGGCTACCTGATAAAGTCTTGTTCTACATTCATGCCGGCTTGCTAGATGACTTGCTTCCCCATTTGGTTCTGAACTTAATCAGTTTTACCTGAGCAATGGTGCTTGTAATCTCATTGGTTGACTACAGTTGTGTTCCACCTCATGCGCACCTACGCAAGTTCCCATGCCTTCTCCACCACCTTAGACTCGCCTCACGGTATGTTTTTCCTCTATAAAAGTCCCTGAGAAGAGACAGCTTCCCAGGGACCACCCGCTTGGGGGGGGCCCCTCTTCTGTCCCTCTCTTGGACAGGAGCTTTCTTTCCCCCAAAAATATATGCTGTTCATTAAAAAAAAATACAGTCTCACTTTTATCTGTCCCAGTAATATAGTAATTTAAAAGGGGAAAAATGTATAGATGACCCATATGGTAGTAGCTGGCACAGTGATGATGAAGACGCTGCTGCTGACAATGAAGGTGGCCAAAGGAAATCAGTAACAAGCAGCGATCACACACTACTGCTCCAAGTCTATCACGCTTTGAAGCGACTGCCTCAATGAATTCTTCAAGCCACCTTAGGACTCACCCATTTTAGAGACGATAAAAACAAGCTGAGAGCTAAGGCCATTATTTTTTCTGGACACCAACTCAGGGAGCAAGTCGGAACCAGCTCCCACTGAGAGGCGGATCTTGCTCTAATCACTGCACTTTTCTCAGCCAAGTGAAGAGATCTGTGTTCTCTTCTTCTTGGTAACACTGCTACGACCCACGGCAAGTCACTGTAAGTCTCGGGTCTTTACAAATTTCAGTAAGTATGAATTTATAAGATCCCAAGATTCTTCTACTATTGAATGACTCCAGAAGTACATGTATGCAGAAATCAGTGGGTCACAGCTATGGTGTAGACATCAAGTGTCTCGTGTTGGCTTGCTGCTTACTCTGTACAAGGTACCCGTTGTACCTATGTGACTACACAAAGAAAAGGGATGAGGGTGATTGCCATCTACTTTTTTCAAAGAAAATATATATGATTAAATAGATAAACTTTATGATTAAATAGAATCTACTAGGGCCAGTCAAATAGCTTGGCAGATTGAAGTGCCTGCAAGCAGGTGTAGTGGCCAGGGGTTCGATCTCCAGGCCTGCCTGGCCAGCACCCCCACTGGGGTGCGCTGAGGGGGCAATTGAGACTGGGCGTGGTGGCGCGTACCTGTAATCCCAGCTCTGGGGAGGCTGTAAAGAGGCGGATCACTAGGAGTGCAGTCTAGTAGTGAGACCCTGAACACCCTGTAGACCCTTCCCTAAAATACAGAAACAGAAAAGAAAAAAAAGGCAGGTGCGCGTGAGGCTGGCGAGCTGCGCTTCCTTCCCTCCAGTCCCTTGACTGTGAACACACATGCAGCGCTTAGGACGCAGCAACCATTCTGCATCTTTTTTTCTTATATTTCTTGTATTCCCATAAAAACGGACTCCAGAAGTCGCTCGGGAATGAGCATACTATGAAACCTCTATGGGACTTTCAAAAGGTATTTTCTAATGAAATTGGCATTCACGTCTATTGTTCAATGTTTTTTTCCTCCTTATTAGTACATGGTTGTGATACACTATAAATATATCTATGGTGGAGAACTGATAAATGTACATTCCAAATCTTAATCCTTTTTATTTACCCTCTCCCTTTCCTCTCCAGCTTCCTCCATTACCAGATCTGTTTTCCATCTCCCACAGGGGTTGTCTTCCTATTTCCTCTCACCTACTTTTAAAAAAAATATATATTTGGTATAAGGTCTCACTATGCAGCTCAGACTCTTGGTGATCCACGTGTTTTCAGTGTCCCCAGCACCGGGATTACAGGCATGCACTATCACCATGCCTGCCTGGGGGTGGGACCAGCACGGCATGTGGTGCTAGGGGTCGAACCCTGGTCCCTTTGCTTGCCTAAGTAGGCGCTTAGTCCGCTGAGCTATCTCACCGCCCCCCCATCTTTTGTTCATTAAATTATGTAATTTGTTTTTTTTGTATAAAAGAATCTTCCTCATTTAACCTGTGTCTGACTTATTTCACTGAGCGTTACAGTCTCAAAGTGCATCCACTTGCCTACAACTGACTCAAGTTAATTCTTCATTGCATTGGAGTAGTACTGCATTGTGCATGTACCTCCCATTTTCTCTGCCTGCTCATCTGTTGACAGGCATATAGGCTGCTTCTGATATTGAACTATTATTAGTAGTGTTGCTGTAAACTTCATATGCGTGTATCATTATAATATGATGTTTTTAACTCTGTCAGGAAGATACCCAGAAGATATATATGGGCCAAATGGCATCTCTAGTTTTAGTTTTCTGAGGAATCTACACACTGATTTCTTGTGGGTGCAGCAGCTTACCTTCCCACCAACAGTATAGAAGGCTTCCTTTTTACCTATGACCTCAACAGCGTTGGTTATGTTTTGTGTTCTTGATGATGAACATTTGTCTAAGGTAAGAGACACTCAGTGTTGTATTTATTTACATTTTCCTGAGAGCAAAAGATGGTGGGCATG